GGAAGATTTTTCCATTTTTTGGTATCCTCTTCTATTTCTTTCTTTAAGGTTTTGTAATTTTCATCGTAGAGATCTTTAACGTCCTTGGTTAAGTTTATTCCAAGGTATTTGATTGTTTTTGTAGCTATTGTGAATGGGATTGATCTTAGCAGTTCTTTCTCAGTCATGGCATTACTTGTGTATACAAAGGCTGTTGATTTTTGTGCATTGATTTTATATCCTGCCACTTTGCCAAACTCCTCTATGAGTTCCAATAGTCTCTTAGTAGAGTTTTTTGGATCCTCTAAGTACAGAATCATATCGTCTGCAAAGAGGGATAGTTTGAGTTCTTCCTTCTTGATTTGTATTCCTTTGATTTCTTTTTCTTGTCTGATGGCTCTGGCTAAAACTTCCAGAACTATGTTAAATAGCAGTGGTGAGAGTGGGCTTCCCTGCCTGGTGCCAGATTTCAGTGGAAATGCTTCCAACTTTTCCCCATTCAATAGGATGCTGGCTGTGGGTTTTTTATAAATTGCTTTGATTATATTGAGGAATGTTCCTTCTATACCCAATTTTCTTAGAGTTTTCATCATGAAAGGGTGTTGAATTTTATCAAATGCTTTCTCTGCATCAATTGAGATAACCATATGGTTTTTTATCTGCAGTCTGTTAATGTGGTGAATCACATTGATTGATTTGCGAATGTTGAACCATCCCTGCATACCAGGGATGAATCCCACTTGGTCTGGGTGGATGATTTTCCTGATGTGTTGTTGTATTCTATTGGCCAGGATTTTATTGAGGATTTTTGCATCTATGTTCATCAGGGATATTGGTCTGTAATTCTCCTTCAGTGCTGCATCTTTCTCTGGCTTAGGGATTAAGGTGATGCTGGCTTCATAGAAAGAATTTGGGAGGATTCCCTCTTCTTCGATTGTTCTGAATAGTTTGAGAAGAAATGGGATTAGTTCTTCTTTAAATGTCTGGTAGAATTCAGCAGTGAATCCATCTGGTCCTGGGCTTTTCTTTGTTGGGAGGGCCTTTATTACTGTTTCAATTTCTGTTTCAGTTATGGGTCTATTTAGGTTTTCGATGTCTTCATGGTTCAATTTTGGTAGATTGCATGTGTCCAGGAATCTATCCATTTCTGATAGGTTTTCCTGTTTGCTGGCATACAGGTCCTTGTAGTAATTTCTGATGATTCTTTTTATTTCTGTGGTGTCTGTTGTTACGTTTCCTGTTTCATCTCTGATTTTATTGATTTGGGTCTTTTCTCTTCTTTTTTGAGTTAGTCGGGCCAATGGGGTGTCAATTTTGTTTAGTTTTTCAAAAAACCAGCTTCTCGCTTGGCTGATTTTTTGTAATGTTTTTTTGGATTCAATCCTGTTAATTTCTTCTCTGGTTTTAATTATTTCTCTTCTCCTACTAGATTTGGGTTTGGTTTGCTGCAGTTTTTCTAGATCCTTGAGGTGCGCTGAAAGCTCATTTATTTGGTACCTTTCCAATTTCTTGATATAGGCACCTATTGCTATAAATTTGCCTCTCAATACTGCTTTTGCTGTATCCCATAAGTTTTGATATGTTGTGTTGTTGTCTTCATTTACTTCCAGAAAGTTTTTGATTTCTCTTTTGATTTCTTGAATGACCCAGTGTTCATTCAGGAGCATGTTGTTCAGTCTCCATGTGTTTGCATACTTTCTGGGGTTTCCTGAGTTGCTAATTTCCAGCTTCATCCCGCTGTGGTCTGAGAAGCTGCATGGTATGATTCTAATTCTTTTAAATTTTCTGAGACTTGCTTTATGGCCTAGTATGTGATCAATCCTAGAGAAGGTTCCATGCGCTGCTGAGAAGAATGTGAAGTCTGTAGATGTAGGGTTGAAAGTTCTGTAGATATCTGTTAGATCCATTTGGGCAATAGTGTCAATTAAATCTGCTGTTTCCTTGTTGATCTTCTGTCCTGATGATCTGTCTATTTCTGAGAGTGGAGTATTGAAGTCCCCCAGTACTATTGTATTGGAATCTAAATCTCCCTTTAAGTCCCTTAACATATCTTTTAAATAGACCGGTGCCCTGTAATTAGGTGCATATACATTTATAATAGTTACATCTTCCTGTTGAATTGAACCCTTAATCATTATATAGTGTCCCTCTTTGTCTCTCTTAACAGTTTTTGTATTAAAGTTTAATTTGTCTGATATTAATATGGCTACACCTGCTTTTTTTTGGTTTCTGTTGGCATGGAATATCTTTTTCCAACCTTTCACTTTCAGTCTGCATGCCTCTTTGTTAGAGAGATGTGTTTCTTGTAGGTAACAAATAGTTGGGTTGTGTTCTGTGAGCCAGTCAGCCAAACGGTGTCTTTTAACTGAAGAATTCAGACCATTAATGTTCAATGTGACAATTGATACGTAGTGACTTTGCCCTGCCATTTTCCCGGAAATATTTTCTAGTATATGCTTTGAGCTTCCCATGCTCTTTTACTGGTAGGTGTTCTTCCTTTCCCTTCTTTCATATTGATGGCCGTGTTTCTGTGTTTCTGAGTGTAGCACATCTTTAAGTATCTTTTCAGGGCCGGACGAGTGGCCACAAAGTCTTTCAATTTCTGTTTGCTATGAAAGGTCTTTATTTCACCTTCATTCACAAATGAGAGCTTGGCAGGATATAATATTCTGGGCTGGCAATTTTTCTCTCTTAGCACCTGTGCTATGTCTCGCCATTCCCTCCTAGCTTGTAGGGTTTCTGATGAGAAGTCAGCTGTGAGTCTGATTGGAGATCCTCTGAGAGTAATCTGACGTTTCTCTCTTGCACATTTTAGGATCTTTTCTTTATGTTTCACTGTGGTAAGTTTAATTACCACGTGCCGTGGTGAGGATCTCTTTTGGTCATGTTTATTGGGGGTTCTATGAGCTTCCTGTACTAGGATATCTCTGTCCTTCTCCAAACCTGGAAAGTTCTCTGCTAGTATCTCACTAAAAAGGCCTTCCAATCCTTTCTCTCTCTCCATGCCTTCAGGAACTCCTAGAACTCGAATGTTGGTTTTTTTAATAGTATCCTGTAGATTCCCAACAATATTTTTTAGGTTTCTAATTTCCTCTTCTTTTCTTTGGTTTGACTGTATGTTTTCCTGTGCTCTATCTTCTAAGTCCGATATTCTCTCTTCTGCTTCACCCATTCTGTTTTTAAGGCTTTCTAATGTGTTTGTCATTTGATCTATTGAGCTCTTCATTTCATTTTGATTTCTCTTGACTATTACACTTTCCTGTTCTACTAGTTTCTGAGTTTCATTTTGACTCTTCCTTAAAATTTCATTTTCACGAGAGAGATTTTCAATCTTGTCCATTAAGGATTTCTGTAGTTCAAGGATTTGCTTTTGAAAACTTCTAAATGTTCTTATCATAAATTTTTTGAAATCCGTATCTTGCATTTCTTCTATCTCATCATCTTCATAATCTTGGCTTGGGGTGTTTTGCTTATTTGGAGGCATCATAGTGTCATCGTTGATCTTGCTCCCTCTATTTCTGTGTTTGTTACTCGGCATAGTTAATTCTTCTTGCATCACTGTGCGGTTTTTTTTTCTTTCTTTTTTTTTTTTATATACTGTGTCCGTGTTAAGTGGACTGCCTGCTGTTGGAGGAGCCTTGGAGGCTTGAGATGGGTGCGGCCTGAGAGCTCTGCCTGGTTCTTCCTGGTTAAGGGTGTGCAAAGGTGACACCCTCAGGTTATGCGTGGTAAATCTCTCTCTTTTTATTTATTTATTTATTTTATTTATTCAGGGGGTAAGTAACACCGCAGGGCAGGGCTGTACAGAATTGATGGTATTTAGCTTCCAGTCTTTGGCTCCTCTGGACTCCCACTGGGTTGCCTAGGCTACTGAATTGTAGTGACTCAGTTCCTTAACTCTCCCCCATTGATATGTAAATCCAAAGAGGAGGCCTGCTCTTTGTCTCTTGGGAATTCTTCAAGCCTTGCAGCCTTGTAACCTTTGCAAGGTTAGGGGGAAGAGAAACCCCAAAGCTTTTTTTTCCTTCTTTCCGGTAGTGAGTTTGCTGCACTTTCCGGCCCCCCTCTAGATTCTGACCCCCGTTTCACCACCAATGTCTCGGGTTATTGAGCTCACCTCCCCTTCCAGCGCCGATGTGTGGACTCGGAGCCCTGAGCGTCCCGTCTCCCCGCTGTTGTCTGTGTGGCATGCACTCCCCTTGGAGCACTGTTGGGCAGATCCTGGGGCTTCTGCGGCTGGGTCCCGCGACTTGGCTTCCGCGCGGTGGGCGACCTTGTTCTCCCAGTAGGTCCTCCGATTCACGCCTGCTCCATCTAGAAGGGTTTCCCCTGCAATTTTTTTTTGGTTCTATTTTCTGCGGCTACCGTAACTCCCCTTTTATTAAACTAAATTTTCCCGGACTATCGGTGCGCGCCCTCACTATTCCGCCATCTTGGCTCCGCCCGACTTTCAATCTTATTCTGTAATTAGATATTACATAATGAGTGAAGTAGAATTTTATGAGGCATAAATGGCATAAAATGTTGGAAATTAAAACATAGGATGATAAGCATGTGTGGAAAATTTCTTAGAATTTGGGTTGAGATAATATAATTTTCCACTTCACTGTTGGTTAGCATAGAATTGAGTAAAGCAAGCTGTCCCATGAATGTCTCTGCAAAATCCCTTTTCTAACTCATTCTGCCCTCTATGATTACATTATATTAGTGAAGTATTGATGGCCAGTATTCTGTGGTCACACTAAATCTTTTAAGGAGAAGCAGCCCTAGAAATTCAACTACATTATGTGACTCGAGGAAAACTTCCAAGGCATAAAGTATAACTGCAATTTCTGTGTGATTCTCACAGCAGTTAGTGTAATTTAATGAAATTAGCTGTTCAGAAATTTGTTTCCATTGTTTGAACAAAGATACAAATCTTTTAACTGGTCGTATGTGAGCATAAAATACATATGAACTATTCTAGGATAAAAAAGGAATGAAAATTGTGTCTAACTGTACATGTCTTTGTTTTCTTTCAGGAAACTGTGAAAATGAATATAAGACTTATATTATGGTTGCAGTCATCCTTGGGATTGTATCATTTATTTTAATTTACCCTATTTGCAAACGTTTTAGAAAATGCAAGCAAAATGGTAAGATATCAAAAATTGAATGTGATAAATTATGATGAATCCAATAGATAGGGTGAATCAAATAAGAACAGAGAAGCGGTAACATCAGTTTTGTCTTAATGTATTAGCAGTTTAGAAAATCAATGAAAATCCAAACCATACAAGAAAAAATTTCTTCCATAAATTTTTATTTATTTTTAGCTGAATAGTGGCTGATAATTAGTATACCTTTTTTTTAAACTTTTATTTAATGAATATAAATTTCCAAAGTACGGCTTATGGATTACAATGGCTTCCCCGCAATAACGTCCCTCCCACCCGCAACCCTCCCCTTTCCCATTCCCTCTCCCCTTCCATTCACATCAAGATTCATTTTCGATTCTCTTTATATACAGAAGATCAGTTTAGCATACATTAAGTAAAGATTTCAACAGTTTGCTCCCACACAGAAACATAAAGTGAAAAATAATAGATGATTTTTTAAATGATGATGAAATCAGATCAGACCTATTGTCATGTTTAATCCCAGTGAGAGTCAAGTTGGGAATTGCTAATTTCTTCTTTTTTTTTTAACAGAAGATCAGTATACCTGTATTTTGAATCAAAAGGACAATTCACATTTTCATTAATAAAGTTGTTCTTGAGGAGAAAAAAGAAACCACAAATATTTAGATACTTGAGGCAAATTTTATCTTCTACTTAAATTTTCATCTTGCCATAAATAATCTCTGCCTCTTGGTATTCAGTCTTGTGTATTCCTCTGTCCTTAAATAATTTGCTTCTCATTATATTACAAAAGATTTTGATGTCTGTCTTGCTGGCAAACTCTCTTCCTCACTGTTTCTGATGAATCACATTGTCACATCGGGGAAAACTAACTTGATGGGAAATTATGGCAGCCTTTAGAGTAAAGGTAGCTAGGAACTGAGGCTCTCAACCTAACAGTCACTCAGTTGGGATTCTGCCAGTATTCATAAAACTTTGAAACAGATCCCTCCCTAGTCCAAATCCCAGTCGTGACCAACACCTTGACTGCAGCCTCGGGAGAAATTTTAAGGTAGAGTTAGAAAGCTGTGCTCAGATGCCTGATCCAGGATTCCTGATCCACAGAAACTGAGATAATAAGTGTGTGTTTTTTAAGCTACTATGTTTGTGGTAATTTGTTATGCAGTAATGTGTAACTAATTTAATTTTAATAATAATTAGCTTTGGAAAGCCTGCATAAACAGGATAGATCAAACAAATTAGGAATATGGTCTTATAAACATAGTTATGATGTTTTTTGAAGTTAGTGATATTTTAAAAACATTTAGCTGTTAAAATGAACACTTTGTTGAACTTAACTCATTTTATGTAGGTTTTTCATTGATGTTCTTGTATGTTTAGGATCTAAAATGAAATCAGATCAAAATTATGATAGTTTTCATATAAAATTAACTTACTCTAATTTACTTTTTAATTTTTGCAAGGTGTATTTATTTGAAAGAATTACGGGGGATGGGGAGAGAAAGAGAGAGACGGAGAACAAGAGAGAGAGAGAGAGATCTTCAATCAGCTGGTCCACTCCCCAGATGGCCTCAGTGGTGCTGCACCAGGCCTAAACCAGGAGCCAGAACCTTCATCCAGGTCTCCCACCTGAGCAGCAGGGGCTAAAGCATTGGGTCATTTTCTATTGCTTTTCCCAGGCCATAAGAAGGGAGGTGGATCAGAAGTGGAACATCTGGAACACAAAACAGTGCCCATATGGGATGCCAGCATCGCAAGTGGCAGCTTTACTGGCTATGTCACAATGTCAGCCCCTAATTTACTCTTTATAAAATTTGTTTTTATTGATGTGTATATATACACACACACACACACACAATATCTTTTTTCCTACTGTGTTTTTGGCTTGAACCACCTGAAATAATATTCCCTTGTTTTAATGTTTATCATTAAGAAAAATATTTATTATTAATTTCTGAAGGATATTCTTTGTTAGCGTTAAAATATTTTCTTCTGTTCTAGTTCTCTACTTTTTATTATTTTGTATCAAGGGTGCATTTATTTCACTTTTGGGATATAATAAAATGATAATTCTTATATATATTACGTTGGAAATATCCTTTAGCATAATATCTAATTGTTGAATCATTCTTGTATTTCTGATCATATTTACTTGTTGAATATGTATAGCCTCTTAGTACATAGCTTTGTCAGGTTAAATACACTTTTATTGAGATTTTTTGCATTTATATTTAGAAATATCATTTGTCCCTACAATGCTTATCAAGCATATCTATTTAAGACTTGAGTAGAATGATTTTATGATAATTACTTCTTAGGTTCTCAGGGTCTCACAATTATAAATCATGTACTCTTGGATAAGGCACTTAAATTTTGTACGTCTAAGATATTATAACTACTAACAATATATTTCTGAATTATTATGAAGATAGACAACCTTGAGATTTAAAAATGTTCAAATAGCAATGACTAAAATGCAAATTTTAAGCACAAATATATTTAAAATTATAAAACTATATAAATGATAACTTATGTTTTCACACTTTGTTATAATGTGATTAATGATTCATTATTTTTCTTCTGTTCTCTATTTGTCATAATACTAAAGAGCTTAATGATATATATTTTTTATTACGTCAAACTTCAGGTAAGACCTGAATACTAAAATTTTCCAAAACAATAGAAATAACAATTGAAATAACTAGCCATAATTATAGTGCTATTTATTATAATTAGAAGTTGCTCATATATTTATAAGCAACTTATATATATATATAAGCTATATATATACACACACACACACACACACACGCATATATATATTAGTTTGCTAGTGCTGTCTTTAAAAATACCCAAAATTATGTGCCTCAAATAGCAGAAATTTGTTGTCTCCATTGTTCTTTAGGATATAAGATCAAAATCAAGATATCTACATAACAACATAGTTGGTTCCTTTGAATAAAGAATCTGTATCATGCATGGCCCATAATATCTGAAAGTTTTCTGCCAATCTTCAGTATTGCTTGCCTTGTAGAAATTCCTTCATCTTCACATGGCTGGGCTCCTCATATAGTCTTCCCTTATGTATGTCTTTCTCTGTGTGCACATATCTCCTTTCCATAAGGACATCCTAGTTGTGCCTGCAATGACCTTTTTTCCAAATAAGATCATGATCCAAGCTACTAGGAGACAGAATTTCTACATATTAATTTCTGAGGGACGCACTTCAACTCATAGCAATTTTTTACTTAGAAAAATTTTCAAAACAAGTGTGGAGAACAATGAATTTCTACAAAATGAACATACCTATGTGACATCAATGATATCATAAAACTTAAAAATTAATATTGCCACAATGCTTCCTTCTTTCCTCTCTCAGTGCTAACCCCTTTATTCATAAATAACCACCACAATCATATTTATCAACTGCTTAGAGCTTGGATTTTGGCAGTAGAAGTGATGTTTTTTGACAGGCAGAATTAGTGAGATAGAGAGAGAGAGAGACAGAAAGAAAGGTCTTCTCACCATTGGTTTACCCCCTAAATGGCCGCTATGACCAGCGCATTGTGCCAATCCGAAGCCAGGAGCCAGGTGCTTCCTCCTGGTCTCCCATGCAGGTGTCAGGCCCAAGCACTTGGGCCATCCTCCACTGCCTTCCTGGGCCACAGCAGAGAGCTGGACTGGAAGAGGAGCAACCGGGACATAATCTGGCGCCTGACCGGGACTAGAACCCAGTGTGCCAGCACTGCAGGTGGAGGATTAGCCTATTGAGCCACGGTGCCAGCTGTATGTACAATTTTTGACAATGTATTCCATCACTGTATGTATGTCTGAGTGGTGACACAGAAGGCTAATGCCACTGAAAAGAGAAATTATTACGTATATTTTCTGAGAGAAAGGGGCGTACCAAAACACTATAGTTCACATGGGAAGCACCACTGTCAAACAGCAAGCAGAAAAAGAGAGAGGGCCTCCATTCACCGCTTCACTCCCCAGTTGGCTGCAACTGCCAGAGCTGCGCTGATCCAAAGCCAGGAGCCAGGAGACTCCTCCAGGTCTCCCACATAGGTGCAGGGACCCAAGGACTTGGGGCACCTTCTCTTGCTTTCCCAGGCCATTAGCAGAGAGCTGGATTGGAAGTGGAGCATCCAGGACTCGAACCAGTGCCCATATGGGATGCTGGCACTGCAGGCGGTGGATTCACCTGCTATGCCACATCGCCGGCCCCATCCCACTCTTAATTTTTACAATGAACTATTTTCAGTTCAGTTTATACTCAAAAGATTAACTGTATAAAAAGTAAAGAGTTCAACAAATAGTAAGAGGAAAAAAATACTGTTCCTCAACAGTAGAGACAAAGGCTATAAGCAAATCATTGAAACTGAAAATGTCAATTTCACTTGAACACATTATATTTTAGATACTCTATTAGTTACTATAGATAAAGGAACACATAGGGTATTTGTTTTTTGGGACTGGCTTATTTCACTAAGTATAATGATTTCTAGTTGTATCCATTGTTGCAAATGACAGGATTTCTTTTTTTAACTGCTTAGCAGTATTCCATAATGTATATACAATATAATTTCTTTATCCAGTCTTGGTTTATGGATATCTGGGTTGATTCCATATATTATCAATTGTGAATTGAGCTGCAATGAACATGGTGGTACTGATAACTCTTTCATATGTTGATTTCATTTACTTTGGATCAATTCCAGGTAGTGAGAAGGCTGGATCATTATTGTAGGTCTACTTTCAGGTTTCTGAGTTATCTGCGTTTTGTCTTCTACAGAGACTTCACCAGTTTACATTCCTATCAACAGTGGATTAGGGTACCCTTTTCCCTACATTCTTGGCAGCATTTGTTGTATGTTGATTTCTGTATGAGACCCATTCTAACTGGAGTGAGTTGAAACCTCATTGTTGTTTTGAGTTGCATTTCCCTGATAACTACTGATTCTGAACAGCTTTTAAAGTATCTGTTGGCCATTTGATGTGTTGTTGCATTCTAT